ATTAATAACTATATTCATGTTTTGTATGTGTGTATGTCCTATGTTGTATTGTAAGTAATCAAAAGTGAGTTACCTCCCTTTAATTACTTTATCGTTTACGTTTATGTATTTTCATTTCAAAATATCTATAAAATATATTTAGCTAAAGTTATATAATATTCTTGTAACACTCTAACCACCTATGGAAATAATGTATATAGGCTTGCCTGTTATTCGATCCATTTGACCATAACACCATGTCAATAAAATATGTTGACATTATCATCTTAATACCTCCTCCTCCTCCTCCTCCTCATAACAATAAAAAGAAATCATCAGTTGAGAGAGAGAGAGAGAATTTGGAAGCATTTTGCGGTGGGAGGGATTCAAACTTGTACAAATGGTGAATCCCCTTCCTCCCCTGGGGACTGAGGGGCAGGGAATCTTTCTCAGTTGACGGGGCTCAAATTTGTGCCAGTTGAAGGGTTGAGGCCAAGGGGTAGCACCAAAACCTTAACATGGCAATGATTAAGATCCTCTTAAAAATCATATACATATGTTACTTCTTATATACTCTGTATACCACTCTTTGTATACTATGTAGACCATTTGGTTGGCAATAAAATATGTTTAAACTAAACTAAGTGGTATACAGAGTGTGATAAATACAGAGCATACGAAGATTGTTAAACAGCTGTACATAATATAGAAAAGGGGTTTAAAAAGTTGTATACATAGTATACATATGTAAAACATTAACCACTTCCATGTACTCTGTATACTACCTTTTTATACTTTGTATACATAATACTATCTTAACATATTCTGTATACTACCTTTTTATACTTTGTATACATAATACTATCTTAACATATTCTGTATACTACCTTTTTATACTTTGTATACATAATACTATCTTAACATATTCTGTATACTGTTTCTATAGTTAGATATGCATATGAAATAACCCCCTTGAGACTTTGTTTCAAATAATCTATTATAGATCATCTACTTGCTAAAACTTATTGATTATGCTGCAGAATAAGCTCACATTATTGCATTTACCTCATAAAGAGTCATCATTTATGGGGTATGGGTATCATTTATATACAGCCTCACAGTATAAGCTACCTGTATATATCATCTCTGTTATATATAGTGTATTGACTCGTGTTCCAGAAGGTACAATGTACATGATAAGGAAAGTGAACATGGTATGTACACCATCTTAACATAATGCATAATTACATACACAAAACTTGTATATAATTATATGGTGTGTATGTCATACCTTGCACAAGCTGTATTTTAATTAAAGTGTGTGGACAGTGTCTGCATACCTTTTGCACAGGGTGTGCAGTGTTGTACATGGTGTGTATTGATGTATATTGTATGACTAAACATAATGGATTGAGGTGTTTACCTAAAGTTAAGTAGGTATTTACCTCATGTAAAGGGTGTTTATTATTTTTAATGCAATTTCTTACCTTTGCTGTAGTGGAACACAATTCTTTGTTTCCCACAGATGAATATTCTTTCACTCGAGTTCATCTTCTGAACAAGCGATCAGACTTTCATTGGGCCAGACCATTGGGGTGCCAATAGAGGAATGTAGGGTGTAAAGCTATGAGTGCTTTAAATGCTGATTCAGATCCCTCACCCTGTACCATATCAATACATCCATGCTTACAGGACGGGATCCAGGGTCCTGCTAGAAACTTAGTTCCCAAGTATTACATGAAATCAGTTGAGATCCCTTCGATACCGGTATGCTACTGGGGCATGCAGAGAAAACACACTCATGCTACCAAGATAGTGCTCTAAATGGAGCCCACCCCACTCCTGAAGACTTACTCTGTGGGTCATAACATGAAAATTGTTGAGATCTCCAAGCTGATATTTCTTCTATGGTGATCGACAGGTTTTAAACCAAAAATAAAATTCCATGTGAGCTATTTATTAATGTCCATGTGCTTCTTGTTCTAGAGAGGCCACAATAAGGGGACATGACAGGGAAACACCCAACACAACAGAGCAGCATGATGTTATGTTTCTTAGGCACGTGATCATTATGAACCAGTCAGACAACTCTTACATAGATGAAGTATAATAATACCTTAACTACAGACCATATGGACACGATTAATGGGAGTTGTATACCTGATATGTGGATACTTGATGTATATGGGTAATTGGGTATATCTGATGTATAGAAGGTGTATACCTGATGTATGGTATGTATGGGAGGTGTATACCTGATGTGTTGGAGGTGTATATCTGATGTATGGAATGTATATATATGATGTATTGGAGGTGTATAGCTGATGTATGGGAAGTGCATTCCTAATGTATGGGAGGTGTATTCCTGATGTATGGGATGTATGGGAGGTGTATTCCTGATGTATGGGAGGTGTATTCCTAATGTATGGGAGGTGTATTCCTGATGTATGGGATGTATGGGAGGTGTATACCTGATGTGTTGGAGGTGTATATCTGATGTATGGAATGTATATATCTGATGTATTGGAGGTGTATAGCTGATGTATGGGAAGTGTATTCCTGATGTATGGGAGGTGTATTCCTGATGTATGGGAGGTGTATTCCTGATGTATGGGAAGTGTATTCCTAATGTATGGGAGGTGTATTCCTGATGTATGGAAGGTATATTTCTGAAAAAAATGTCTGTATGAGATATTTAATTGTGAATTTAGTCTTTGAACAAAAATTTACCTAAATAAGTCAAGTTAGATCAAATGTAAAAATAAGCAATTAATATTCTTGGTATAATAAATTGTATTTCATTATAAATTTTCTACATGTTTGGTGGATTTGGTTATACATCTGGATTGCAAAATTTTCTACCACCAAATCTAAATTAGCATAGACAGAAAAATAGGACACAATCTAAACAAACTGCTTGGTTGGGGGAGGTTATTAATTTTATTGACTTGGGGGAATACTGAACAGTTGAACATGTCCTGTCTCTGTCAACTCACAAAATACATTAGCACAAACTTTAAAAGCATAACACAGGATAATCAGCAAAATCAATTAATTTTGCTTACAACAAGCTAGACAAGTGATGTGCATAATAAATGATGATCAAACTAACTAAGTTTTCTGACATCAACTATCTGTATTTGTACCTAAAAAAATTGCTGTAAAATATTATCAACCTGAAACTCTGGAGGCATACCTCTACTATCTACAGGTAAGACACATGTCACAGTTCTTAACCATGACTTCCTTATCAATAATATTAAACACATACAAATTCATGAACATGCTATGGCAGACACACACACCTCTCACAAACCAAACCAAAATATAATTTAACGAGGCTGTGTACGAACAATATAACATAAATCGAAATGAATGTTCAAATCTCACTTTATATTTGAGTATGTGATGAGTGATTCTGCGCTCTTACCGAGTTTGACATCATTACACAGCTGCACTAGGACCACAGGGTTCGTTACAAATGTCTGAAATACACAAATGCTGTGACCCCTATCAGTATAGCATATGTGTATTTCAGACATTTGTAACGAACCCTGTGCTAGGACCAACACCATTTATAAATCCCAAACCAACTACTTTCATTTGTTTCATTATGGTTGAAAAATTATGTGCAGCAAAATTATACACGACAGTGATTCTCACCAATAAGAACGATTTCTTTTAGACTAACAAAACCAACTGGTTGTATATATGTTAATACAATGTTAGTTATACTTGTAGAAAAAATACGCAACTGTGTGTGTGTGGAGCTAGTTTTATACAGCTCCCGTTTATTACGCTCTAGATTTTATCACATAATGTTCTGTATTATCCAATGAATATACCCATGTCATATGTTTAGCGTATTAACCCATGTAATATGAATTATCAGCCCTGCGATTGGTTCTAGGTTTCAATTGTTTCAATTGTAACGTCACGCTTAGGACAAGTACATGGCGCCACAGACATACGCACTGGAGTCAAAATTGCGGCTTTTTACATTTCAAGGTTGCATGAAAATTGTCGTTTTTTACAAATAAATGCAAAAAATCTTGATTATGTGATAAAAAGAATCTTACACTCGTTTTCATTTTATGTAAAATTTATGAAACTCATCACGAATTTTTCATTTTAGGCTCGCTAAATTGAAAAATTCTAAGACTCGCTCCATAAATATCATATGAAATGAAAACTCCTGTAAGATCCTATATATATGTCATTCACGTTTGAAAAATGAAGAAATTTGGAACAGTTTTAGGTTTTATGTTATTCTTGATTAAGAAGGAAATTGTTATCCGAGTTATCTAAGAGCTTGTTATCAGAGCCTGGTATATTCCGACAGAAGCAAACACACTAAAGCTCTTAATAGTAATCGGCAACAGATGTCAAAATCCTGGACTGAAACCGAAATTAATAGTCCCCGCTGGGGTTCCCCCAGGGGTGACTAGAAAAAAAACCTGACAGACTCTTTGCCCTATTTTTTTCTTTTCAATTATATAGAAGGAGAAATATTTACCACTAAATATTTCCACTATTCACAGGGGTTCGTTACAAATGTCTATGTACATGTATGCCATACTGATATGGCCCAGTGGCGGATCCAGAGTTTTTTTTTTAGGCTTCAGGAACCCCCCCCCCACCCTGATTATTTTCTTTAAAAATCATGTATTTTCACCATTTTCCTCAATTTCCCCCCACATGGAA